ATCAAGAGGTGCATGATGTCTTCCCTAGGCATTAAAAGTTACCTGAGCATCTATTGATTCTTGGAGGAAAGTGAATGGCTAAACAAAAGTTCTTAGTCAGGGAAGCCCTGAGATCCTGACTCACGGCTCCACGTTTTCACATATGTTTAGAACAGTGGTTCTCAACCTGTGGGTCGCGACCCCTTTGGGGGCCGAAAGACCCTTTCACAGGGGTCGCCCAAGACCATCGGAAAACACATATTTAATTACATATTGTTTTTGTGATGAATCACTATGCTTTAATTATGTTCCATTTGTAACAATGAAATTGGGGGTCACCACAACATGAGGAACTGTATTAAAGGGTCGCGCCTTAGGAAGGTTGAGAACCGCTGCTCTAACAGAGGAATGAAGGAAGAGGCTGCGGTGTCATGTGCTTGCTGCTCCAATGACAGCATTCGCCACTTGGGGGCAGAGATCAGTTCAGTCCAGACCGAGAGTCAGTGACAAACTCCTGAATTTACCTTCTGAATGGTGGCAATCTAATGTCATGAACATGACTCGTGTGGATTACATGTGAACTAACTGACCAGGGAAATGGGCTTTCTTACAAAACTGACGCATGTGGTGGAAGCAGGTGACATCCAGTCAGCATAACGCCTGGCAAACAAGGACTGAGGTAGCAGATCCCAGATTTTAGAATGTGTTGTCTAAACATTTTTTTCTCTCCTCCAAATTCAATATCTATCATTACTGGTTCTTTTCAACAAATATTTCAGCCAACTAGAGGCTCCCTGTGCAGGTCGCTTAGAATCTCGGAGGATCCACTCTGAGGTCAGGAGATTGGTCAGAGAGGTATTGCCACTCTGCTGAGGATGAGTTCTGAAGATGGAGGGAGCTGGCAGGGTTGGAAGGAGGACGTGGGTCTGAGGAATATTAGATGTAGGGTTAAAGCGATAAAATTCAGTGACTTACTTGTGAGGGTAGAGAAGGTTCTAGAAAATCTAATGTCCCCCCCCCCCCGCCCCCCCGCTACTTTGGCTCACTCAGCTGGTGTCCTTAACTGAACTAAGCATGTGGAGGACATATCATAGCTCACATTCGGGATGAGGTCTAGCTCCTCATGGGATATACAAGCAGGTGTGTATTACACACACTAAGTCTCCCCCAGTAGATTGTCAGTAGGCTGAGTAATGGCCCCCCAAAGATGTCCATGGTCGAATCCCTCGAACCTGTGACTATGTTATTTTACATGGCAGAGGGGCTTGGCGGATGTGATTAAGTTCAGGATTTTGAAATGGGGAGATTATTTTGGATTATCCTGGTGGGCCCAAGGCAATCACAAGGGTCCAACAGGAATGTAGAAAGTCAGAGTCAGGATCTTCAAAATGTCCCTTAGAGGGCGGTACAAGCTCAGGGAGAACCACTGAGCTGATCACCAACCGGCTGATCTCGTGAAGCATCTCTCATTGTGTGGACTGTCATCCCCTGCCTCATCTCTCTGTCAGGGCCAGAGCATATGCTATCTCCTCTGTGAGGCTGGTCCAGCCAGCTTCTTCCCTTCCACCTCTGACCTCTCACAGCCCTGTTTGGCGTCAGTCCCACGTCATCTACCCTGTGCTGCCTCCTGTTCTCCTTGTCCCTTGGGTCTCGGAGCTCTCCTCCCATCCCAACTACACAGCCCTCAGGTTGTAGCCCAGTGTCCTGCCCATCACCACTCAGGAAATACAGTCCATAAATACATGTAGAGAAGCAGGTAGGGGTTTTATATGGATTAGTGGGCCAGGTGAAAAAAATTTCAGGCATAAATTAGAGATGATGGATGTTGCATGTATTGGAGACAATATATATTTTTCAAGAAAAAAATCTTGAGTATTGATATATTTTCATGTATAACATTAAAATGTTCCCTTCACTGATTTGCACTGGCTGGGGCTCAGGAAACGACTTGAGTTATTTGTATCCATGTTTTGCCGACATAGTCCCAAATCCGTAGCACAGCTGTGTGTTACATGTTCAGAGTATGAACATAAAATGAATCTCTTGCTTCTGAGAGGGTTGGTTCTATCTGAGTTTAAGGGATCTGACAAATTCACCTGAGCTAAGGTTCATTAGTGAAACTTAAAGTCTCTCTCTCTTAGAAGAAATGACAATACAAGAGAATAAAACACCTTAAAAACAGGAATAAAACTGTAATGATGGCATGACAGGTGTCGGAGAAAGAATCAGAGATGTCTTAGGGATGGTGTTGAGGGGCTCCGGACATGCCCCAGATCATAGCTTTCCTGGAGATGAATTATGTTCCTGGATCTTAAAGCATAAAATTGTAGCCCTCACAAGTAATGTATATGTAAGTACCAGTTAGGCACAGGGTCGTTTCCTGAGGGCCTTGTACTACTAGTTCATCAGGGGACAAATTTAGAAAATGGCTGGTCCCTGCTTTCCGAGAGCAGAGAGTCCAGTTAGGAGCCAAAGGTACAAACAGGGCAGCTGCCTAAGATGCAGGGCCCAGTTCAAAATGCAAATGGGGCACTCCTCCACAGAGTAAACATTTCAAAAACGTAAGAGTCTTCAACCAAGCAGGGATCCTTCTAAGGTCAGGACTTGAGAAGGCACAAGAGGCCTATGCTTACCATTACAACAGAATTTGATCATGTTTGTATAGAGGTATGTACAGAAGACTGTGTGAGCCCAGGAGGGAGTAGCTTAGCCTCTGCCATGGGGACTGATTCTCCAAGGAAGTGACTGGTGGGCTAACCCTTGAAGGATGGACAGCTGGGGGCTGGGTGATCCAGGCAGGGGAGCTAAGGGAAAGCAGTTCTCCTGGGCCACCCTCTGCACCCCAACCTGCTCACAGCTTCCCACTTAGTTCTTCTGTTTTGAATCCTTGTCATTTCCATGCACCGTGTTCACGCTCTTCTTTCTTTGTCAATTTCAGACATTATCTGTTGACGCCAGGAACAAGAGATGAGGCTGTGGCTCCCCTGAGAACTCCCTCATCTCCATCCTCCTCCCATTATCATTAAATCTTCAGTTTAGTGCGGTCAGTTACTTGGGTGACCTTGGAAACAATACGCTTACTCTTGGCTGCTTGCCCATACAATATCTCCAGACTCCACCTTCAACCTCTCCTTCTACTCCCATATTTTCCAGTGCTCTCCCTCCAATGGAACTTTCAGGACAGTTTCCATTTATTTAGAGAAGAATCCCCCATAAGGTTGCACGGGGCGAAATGGCTGTGAAGAAGCTGGACCAGGTTCTCCACCAAGATGCCCTTCTCCCTGACGGAAGGCGGTGGCTCTCTGCTGTCCTTCATCTCTTACTCCTCCCCGTCATCCATCTTCCAGAAACCTGTCAATATCTCTCGAGCTCTAATTTTTCTCTCTCCAACTTTACTCCTGTTATTGTGGGTTTATATAGTTTTTATACTTTTCCTATCACCGAAATGATAGGAAAAGTATAAAAAAAAGAATCTGTGATCAGTTCATCTTGAACTGCAAGTTCAGACACCATGAAGATTATTCCGCTTCTATAAATCAGGTGATGACGCTTTGAGAATTTAAGTGACTCCAATCCTGGCCCCATCATTGTAAGTTACATGCCCTCTGGGGATGTCTTTGAAGATGGCATCTAAAAGCCTGATGAGAAACAAGGCCCTGCGATTAATGGATTAATGTCACAGAATACCTTTGATACCATCTAGGACTTCAGGACGACTCAATGTAAAGACAAGAGGAGGCAGCCCTTCCCAGAGACAGAAGTTGATCCAATCAAGAAGCCACTGAGGGAACTTTCATCTCATTCCTCATCAAAATGCCTAGCACCTTCTTTTAACCCTTTCACTCATCCACAGATTTAATTTAATTCTTATCTTTTCATGAAATGAATCTAAAGGAAAAGAGAGGAAGTACGAGACCAGAGACTGAAATCGTTTTTAAACTATTATCTATTCTCCAAAGGAAAGCTTTTAGCAAACAGGAACTTCGTTATGTAGTCTCTTTCTCTGCTCCCCAGCAGCGTTGCTTATTTTTAGCACACTCGTCATTGACATGGGGATGGTGAGGTATGGGGTATGTTGGGAGGTAGGCTATGTTTAATCTGTAAATTTAAAAACTTCTGGAAGAGCAGAGGCACAAAACATGGCCTACAAAAGATTTTCCTGTTGCTTTTGAAAAATGCTGCCCTTACATTTATTGCCAGTTAAACTGCCAATCAAGTAACACTGGTTTCTGTCAGCTGTTGTCAGCACATCTTCAAATTAGGAAGATCTAAAGTCAACTGAGCTATTTCCTTCTCTACCCAGAGTGACCCTTTCTCTTTAGCCCCAGTTGTTAGAGACCAGGAAACACACCTTCCATTTGCCCTGGTCCAAGCGGTTCATCTTGCAAAGGAGGGATCTGCTTTTCTACCGTGTGGGGTTGGTGGGGGCTACAGGCAAGGAAGCCCTGTTTGGTCACTCTTAGGAAAGAGCGGGTTCATTGAGCATCAGGAGGAAAAAGCCAGTGTTGGGAATTCTGATCCTAATGGGATAATGATGAACGTGACGAAACTCCTTGAGAAAAGTCTACCTCCGCTTGTTTGGAGATTTTCTCACGCTTGTCGTTACGAGAAAAGTTGTTTTTTTTATTGAAATGGCTTCAGCCACCGTCCAGATTCTAGGCTTAAAAGAGGTTGATGATAAAAAGGTGGCATTTCAACGAAACACACCGAGAACAGCTCTGCAAATGACCTCACCCTCCGTGCCTGGGAGTGAACACCTTTGCCTGCAAGACATGAAAGCAAAACCATGCAATGCTCCATACACGTGTCCTGGTAATGCACACACACTGGGTCATGCGTAGTGACCAAGGCAGTCAGACAGATGGGATGTGCCTGCTTGGCATGGATTACGTCCTGCATCTTGGAATCAAGGTCAGGTTCAGTGGCAATAAGAAGGAAGAACAATACAATTGGGGAAGTGGAGATGACACTTCCCCTTCTTTCGAAAGAGCTTTACTCTCTGGTCAGCTTCGAATGGCAGTTCTGTGTACTCAGAGCCTCTGGAGGTGTGGCTGCTTCGAGTGGAACCCTCAACCTTTGCCTCAGAGGATTATGAGTTTTCTGACTTCAGGGAGAAAGAGCCAGCTCCCGGATTTACTATCTTTCTATTGCACGTAAGTACAATCACTTCTTGGCCGATACATGAGCAGTCACTGCTTGGCATTTCCAGATGATAAGACAGTTGATACCCTCGCACTCTGCAGAGCAGTGAGTTCTACAGTGTGACTCCTGGGAGGTGATGTTTGTGCAGCTCTTTATAAACCCGCCGCTGTGGGGCCGAGGGCTGAGGGCGCGCTTACCATCTCTCAGAGGCCTGAAGGAGAGAGTTGTGTGCTCACTCTGCTTTCCTCTGGTTCTTAAATGGATGTTGTGTTGACGGCTGCTTGGACTGCAGACCCTGGGTTTGATTTAGAAAGAACAATGCAGCATCTGTTTGGGTCCCGAGGAGTTCATTCGGGGTGACACTCTGTGGCCTCCCTCCTTTGAGAAATTGTCCTCTTTGGGGAGAATCCCTCTTTGTATGTAGGCAGCTGGAGGGGATTTTTACTTTTAGATAAAAGCCACAGGCTTGACGAAATATCTCTTTATGAAAATAAGACTTAGGTGATGTTGGTTTTTGTTTCCCCAGGGCACCTGGAGTGCTTGTTTATTTTGCTTGTATACATGTGACAAAAATTTAACTGCGGGAGTCAGAGTTATAACCCATGAAGGCATGCATCCTTTACGATAGTAGTGGATTTTGTTAGTTTCTGAGTGCTCCTAAGACTGTCCTAGGCATTGTACCATCATGCATAGTGTCTGATTCCTCTATAGCTATTTATTTTACATAGAAAACAGATGGAAAGAACACAGGTCCCCTCTTGCTCACATCATGCAAGTGACGAAGAAAAGGACTTCAGTTTGTGTATTTGTTGATGTGCTCATTCTTTAACGTATTTTTAAGATCCTTTTTTTTTCTTCCTTTATACATCAGTGTTTTTTCTGGAGAGGGTTCATGTACAAACTATTGCAGGCAAGCTGCATTAAGCAAATACTCATCCTCTGAGTATGAAAAGAGGAAGCTCTTTCCTGTGGTGGCTCGCTGTGGCAATGAGCGATTAGAAATTACTTCATGACTATTGCCTGCGACTTTCTTTTTGACTCGTGTATCCTTCTTGAACAGCTCACTTCTGCTTTCCATCCAGCGTGGAGGCTAGGCAGTGGGAGCTGGCAACCCAAGCACAGACTGTGTTTGCAAGCAGGTTAATATAGCAAGTGGTGTGTGAGAGCAAATCCTAAAAAATAAGTTTTGTGGGGTTGGAAAAGATCCTGCACGTTGGGATTACTGTACTCTCAGCCCTCAGAACAGTGCCTGCCACAGAGTATGCTCTCAGTTGGTATTTGTTGAATAAGTGAATGATTGGGATTGTGCATGAAATGAGTGTGGTAGGGTAGCCTTTGCTTCATCTCTGGGGCCTAAAAACTTAAGGAAATGCAGGTTGGAGAAGATCAGAGTGAAGCAGGAGAGGAGGAGAATATGAAAGTGGGAAGAGATGAAAAAAGATGATGAGAATATGGTGGTGAAGGTGGAGGTGGAGGTTGTGGTCGAAGTGGTAATGATGGAGGTGGTGGTGCAGAGTTGGAACTGGTGGTGGAGGTGATAGTGAAGGTGATGGTGGTGGAGGTGGTGGAGATGGTGGCAGAGGTGATTGTGTTGGAAGTGGTGATGATAGAAATGGAGGTAGATATTATGGAGCTGGTGGTGAGGTGGTTGTGGTGGAGATGATGGTGGTGTGAAGGTAGTGGACGTGGTGGAGGTGATGGAGATGGTGGCAGAGGCAATGGTGGAGGTGGTGTTGGAAGTGTGATGACAGAAACGGTGATGGTGGTGGAAGAAGTGGTGGTGAAGTAGAGGAGATGATGAGGAGGGCAGTGTGATATAGTCAAGAGAAAACAAGCTTTGGGTTCAACACATTTACTCAAAATCTGCATTTACCATTGACTAGCTCTATGACCTCTGAACTTATAAAGTAGTGATTATAATAAGTTGACCTTTTTGTGTTGTTGAGTGGGGATTGGAAATATTAGAAATATGATTGATTGCATAGTGCCTGCCATCTCATGGATCTTCATTAAATGCCGTTATCAATATATTTTCTTCAATTTTTAAATCACCACAGTCAGACTTAAAAATTTAACCTCCAATTTATCTTGTCTTTGTGCTTTTTAGTATTTTCTAAATTTCCTGAAATGAGCATTATTTTTGAAAAGAATCATTTATTAAAAATAAATGTTATAAGAGATTGACCAAAGGACTTACATGCATATATACATAACCCATGGACACAGACAATAGTGTGGTAAAGGCCAGGGTGGGAGTGAAAGGGGGGTTGAGGGGGTCAATGGAGAGACAAAAAGGGAATATCTGTAATACTTTCATAAATAAAAATAATTTTAAAAAAATAAGAAAAAAAATTAATGTTATAAGCCTAATTGTCAGTATGGCTAAGCCCATGGTGGTATATTTATATAAAGGAATAGTATCAATAAAATGATGTTTATGGAAATATTATTAATATTAATGCTAATTAAAAGAAGCAGAAACACATTTTCAACTATGTAAAAATATTGTAGAGAAGCAAGATTGAGATAAATATGTTAAAATGTGAACATATGATCAGTGGGATTATAGCTGATAGTTATATTGATCTTTGTATTTTCCTATTTTTTCCAGATTTTTTAAGTAATGGAGCATATCAGGACTATCTTAATAATATGAAAAAAAATGTTGAATTAAAATCAGGGAACCATCTTTTAATTTTCTATCAAAAATATAACAAATGTAGCTTTTTAGTTATACAGTGCTAAAGTTTGTGGTTCATTTCAATCTAAAAGATGACACTTATGACTTATGCTATATTCTTTATGGGGGATACCCTTTGAAAGTATCCCCCATACAAAGACAGGTGCAAAATCATGTGGCAGCTCTAAAGTAAGGGGATGCAAACAAGGTCCCATCTGGGGCTGACTGATCTAATTAGTTCCTAGAATCACACAAAAGTGGGTTATTTTCTCTGGACGATTTATAACTGTCTGTAAACTGGAATTGAATGACTTTATAGCAAGTTCAATAGTCAATTCAATAGTTAAGAGATCTAAATTAAATTTTAACCCACCAGCATAAGAGTAATTAATTTTATAATTTTATAGGGAATGTTGACTTATCTTTATCATTTTGGTATAGATGGGGAGAGATGAGAGAACCATTTTTCTGGAGTCGAGAAAGAATTCTTGTTGTTAGGACCTTGGCCATCCCGCCTCACCGTGCAGCTTGTCACTATGATAGAGTCCCTTATCAGACACTTAACCGAAATAAAATATTTTGGCTTGTTGGTATTGCAACATATCTCCTATCTTTGTCTTAGATATGATCAAGTGGGAGATAGTTGATAGACAAAGAGGCAAAAAGATGTGAGCAAAAATCAGGACTCCTACACTGACACAGATGTTAACATAGAAGTAGTCAAAAGTGGAACATTAGCTAGTTTAAACTCCCCAAATTACTAGAGTAGATGAACTCTTTCAAAAAAATCTGAATAATAATAATAATACAATAATAATATCTACACTAATAAAAGAGAAAAATGGTAATTGGTGTACGACGCTACCCTTTTCATTGGCCAATCAGGGCTATATGCAAATTAACTGCCAACTAAGATGGCAGTTAACTGACAACAAAATGGCAGTTAATCTGCATATGTAGGCACAATGCAGGGAAGTGAGTCT